TTTAATTGTGTACCAGTTTAACGTTGAATATTATTTATGATTTTAACTTCATACACAAGTGCCAAAATACTATAAGTACGTGTAGGATTTTAGTTTTGGTGAAGTTGTAGTTTAAATTCTATATACCCATTTTTCTTAGTCGAAGTACATGATGGGCCAACATACGATAAAGTGATAACATTGTTAACAGTCTTATTTTGATATAAAATGAGAACTAATCTTTCTAGCATCACATCTTTATCATTATTTGTTGTTACTAAAAAATTGATAACATTCAACTGTTGCACTTTGTTTTTTTAGCAAAAGATTAATCAAGGTTGCCTTAGGAATGTATAAAAGCAGAAGAAAAGGTAACAAGTTAGGGTTAATTTTATTTGGTTTCATTTTTCATGTTTACTGAAAAGTAAATACATTTCGGGGAAATTGAGAAATAATGAATAATCAATAACTTTGTTTCAGTGTAAAAAATGAGATATCCAGACTTCCAGTGTTGTGCCCATTATATGGTTCTTTTTTTCATATTATAAAATTGGCGTAGCAGTTCACTGAGCTATAAGTCATATACAGTTTCTTCCACTTTTAAATATACCACGATATATGAAGCACCAATAGAACTATTGAAACTTACCAAAGTTTATTGAATATGAACTAAGTTTATATTTAGATAATGAGTGACAAATATGACATTAAAAAAAAAACGACTTTCTACTATCCGGGGAAGGATCAATTCACCATGGAGGATTTACAATTGTATCTCGTATGTTCGTAGGTGTGCGTGTTTATGTATGTAGGTGTGCATGTTTGTGTATGTGAGCATGCATTTCTTTGAATATAGACACGTATTGCATCACTAAGCACAGTCTATATTATAGCTTAAACGTATTTTTTAAAAAATTTGTGGGTATTTCAAGAACTAAAGATTGCTCAATTATGCACCTTAAAAAAACTTGAAGATAAAAAGGAAGACAAAATAAACTATAACAAAAACGATTTGAATTGCCCTGTCACTCAACAGACAAATGTAAAATTATAATATATATATATATATATATGTGTGTGTGTAAGGAAAATCTTGATTTAACCAAATGATCTGTTTGTAGAAAGTACGTCTTTAGTATGTTAGTCACTGCTTTCTCTATAAGAACACTGTATATTAGTTATGTGCCTGAAATATAAGGAATAAATGAGAAATATACAATTTATGTCTTCTCACATATAGTCATGGTCAATGCTGTATGGATTATCAACAAAATAAATCTCAAGAGAACGTTCATGCATAAGTATTATTCTGACATAAGAAGAGTAAGACTGCTCTCAGAAGGAATGAATTTGAGCAGAAAAACTAAGAAACTTGAATACTGTCGGTTGTAAGATTTTTTTTTATTTCAAGATGTATAGAAGTGAATCAGTAGATCACTTGAAGGGAATGTCAATTTCTACAGATGTTATAAATAAATAAAACACTGGTTTAGGTTTCAAAATATGATGTTAGATAGTTATGTATCTTTCTACTTCTGTAAAGTGTGTTTGAGCCAGAGTGAAACACGATTGATCTTGCAGACAAAGGTAGGCTGTTTTAGCTTTTAAACTATGGATTCTTATTTACTGTGCAAGAACTTCACTGTATCTGTTTATGTAGTAATTATATAGCAGTACACTGTGCAGTTAAAAGTGTTTCAAATAATAATAATATATAATTTGTCTCCTTCATGTATGTTTTGTACATATATAGTTTTGCTGGCATAACTTATATA